GTAACGGGACTCGAACCCTCACTCAACAGATTGGAGCCAGCACACCCAAACCACTGAGACAGAATTCATGTTCGAATTTAGAATGGTAACGTTCAATACTAATTTGTATATGAGAGTTGAATAGTATACACAGCTAGGTAAAATTGAGAAGTCACTACGTCTATACACATTCATATAGACAAACTTTCAACTGGTGTAGCCAGCCATTCCTCTGAGCCAATACAAAGACCGTAATGACTTTAGTAGTACTTAACTAGAGCTGTTCCTTTCGGTCTCACCGAACAAATTTCTTTAACGTACCAAACATACAGAAAAGGCTGGCTAAATGCTACTGATTATTAAGCAATATTAAGGCTGATGCAGCATAGTCATGATTTTAGATACTGCAGCATTGAAGGTGTCTATACAATTGCTGGGAACTTGTTGAGTTTCAAGCATATAGTGTTGACCACGATGTAACATCTTCGAACACCATAATGTCGGCTAAATTTGCTTTCGCTGTCAGATTGCGTATTTCCTGAGGTCCACTCAATCGGTCGAAAGATTGGTCTAAGCGATTGCATCAGACCTGGCTATGCGGCTCACTCACAAATAAAGTCACAGTAGATTGCTTGCTTCAGCAGTTCAGCCGCACGCACCAGCAGGATCTATTTCGACAGTAAGTCAGAATGACCAAGTAGTCGCAAAGAAGGTGAGACAATGAAGTCAGTATTTCTTTGTTTCTGTTGGATTACGTGTCCGATGCTCTTGTTACGTTGCTCATATACAAATCAGCTGCACAAAGTTTGTAATTCTATCCAGAAATAAACAAAGCACGGTAGCGATTGCTATAATTTGGCTTCGGTAACAATTGATTCGTGCTCCTGACTCATCAATTTGCGTGTGTTAGTAGCTATCGGATAACACTGAGCGGTACGGCACTTATTAAAAACAAAATTTGATTTACAGTCCACAAAGACGGCACTAGCACAACGAGAAACGTTGTGTTAAATGATGAACTATTTTCAAGCTAGACAATCTTTCCATGCAGCCGAACTATAGCTTCATAAATCGTTGTGCTAGGTTACAGATTAAATTTATCGGACAAATGTAATAGTAAATTTTATCATATTTCAAAAGGTTATAATTGCGGTGATTATTGAAACGTGATTTCGCGTTCGACATGTGTATTTTTGGAAACTAGAATCAGAGCTCACACAACGAGACCACCTTGGCCTCTATCACTTAAGTGGCCAGAATATGGCGGTAATAACGGCTTGGATTTTCTCCCTCTTTTTTCTTGTCTTCTCCGTGTTAAAGTCAGCGTTACCTTGGCAACTCAATCAACAAGCACATATTGCCGAGCTAATCGAGTTTGTGCTTCACTTCGATTTAACGTCATTTTCAGTTGAGAAAAGAGAAGGGAAGAAGATATCACTAGATACGCCGGATTAGAAGATTTGATCTTCTTTGCCCTCACAGCATACATCTATCACTATTAATTCAGCAAAGAACGTCTTTGAATGACAAGATAAATTGTATCGAATCCTCGTCGAGAAGTTACTCAGGACTTAAGATTATTAATATGCACTCCTTCTACTGCAGGAATGGGTGGCGAGACGATACCACTCCATTGTCCTTATGCCTTAAAGCTGTTATACAAGCTACCGGCACACAGTATACTAACTGCACCCGCAAACTGATGCCACGGCATATGCAAAAGCTTTTGCGATGGATTCTTCCATTTCTTCCAGCTTCTCATGTCGATTTGGATTGCTCTCTGGTGTCGACTGCTAAAGGTGGTCAAAGGTGTCCAACTACTTTACCCTTGCTTAAGCTTTTTAAAGTTCCGCACAGGTTGTGCGCAAGTTTACACGCAGACGACGCTTGTCAAGTATCTCCCACCTATACTTCGGGCTGTTGAGGCTGAAAAGGGATGCAAGTTACGGAAGTGATCAATACAATAGAATTTAATCTCATGAATATTTTCGGAGACAGATTGTGGTGTAGCAACTTCTATGCTAAAATCAACGCGAACCATGATGACTATATTGAACTGAAGTAGAAAAGGCCATATGATATTGCTGCCTTTCTGATCGTGCTCATGATCTACGAGAAAACAACAGCTACTACTTTTTGAATTGATGGTAAAACCCAACGTGAAGAGTTCATTGTGTTCGTAAAATTTTCTCGTCCTAACATTGTTCCAAATCACTCTTCCATGCTATTTCACAATTTCTTCAGTAAGACGAATGTATTGGCTAGGTATCCCACAGTGAGCCTCAAACACCGTGTAATTGAACTATTTTCTTTATGGGAGTTGAGCCTCATTCGTGAATTTAGTGCCACCACGAATTAACGACTAGGCTAGTCTGAGGACATTTATTAAATAATGTCATGCATGTAAATTCGACATACACCCGCAACATCGATCTTCAAAAGTATTGATCGACGTTATCTCAACAAGTGAGCACTAGTAGTGGATTAATAAAGGAGTCAAATACAAAAATCTGAGCTATCTCTTATGTATTCAAACAAACACGAAAGTGATGTCCTGCCACAAAAAAACATCCATCGATATGAGACCGTAAGGAACAGAAGAATTGTACACGACCTCGCCCACAGGGGCAATTAACGGCTTCAGCGACAAAGTAAACTTATCTTGATTTTTTTGAATATCAGCTCCTAATTCGTTTCATTAATACGGCCTTTAAATTGTTAACAACGCTTGATATATCAAAGTAGTCATTAAATTGATTGTTAAAAAAAGGGAGAAT